AGCACTTCAGACAAAAAAAGTGCTTTCCCAAAAAGTTTTCAAAAAATTTCAAAAAAAAAAAAAGTTATGGCGAAAAATAAACTAAACAACATTTGCCTGCATCCAAATTCTTTACCAAATTTGAATTAAAAATCAAATACAAAAAATAAACACTACGATAAAAATAAGAAAAAATAAAAAGAGAATCAAAATGTGTGAGTGTGCGAGCACCTTTTCGACACCGCCATCTTTGCCGATTTTTAATTATTTTTTGGCATTGACAAATGCCCTGAAACTTTACAGATATGTAGCTTACATAATCAATAACTCATTGAGTTTTTTTCAAAAAATAATAATCTTTTTTAGGCCCCGAAATAAAATGAGAACAAAAAGTTAAAAGTGAAAAAAAACAAAATGGTGAGTGGGCGAGGACGTTTTGACACCCCCATCTTTGACGATTTTTAATGTTTCTGTGGCTTAGCAGAATGACTTCAAAATTTATAGGCGTGTAGGTTGCATCATAGAAAACACACAAAAAATAATTCAGAAAAAAAAACTTATTTTTAGGCCCCGAAATTTGTTTTGGTGGGGGCCAAACCTGGAGGTATTCGACCCCCGAACGCCCGAACGTTTGGGGGCCAGCCCGGGGGCCCCCGAACGTTCAGTCAAGTAACCCTGCATATATGATGAGTCGGTGAAACTTCGACGAAACAGTTTGTCACAGCCCCTCGTTTGTTGTCCTCTTCTCTCTCTCTGCCTACGGTTTACCGGGCAGTTCTGTTTGTGACGATATATATATATATATATATATATACGAACAGAGCTGCCCAGTAAACCATAGGCAGAGAGGGAGAAGGGGACGACAAACGAGAGGCTGTGACAAACTGTTCATTATAATATGTGTATATATCGTCAAAGAGGGCTGCCCGGTAACCCGTAGGCAGAGAGGGAGAAGAGGACAACAAACAAGGGGCCGTGACAATGTTTCATCAGGAGGCTTAACCCTCAACAGTCCGCAGAATCCTCTAACTGATTACACCGTAAGTGATAATCCACCTTCACCCCGGCTGTGATTAAGCATCAACAACTGCCCGATAACCTATAGCCTCTGAGGTGGGCACCAGCCACTGCCCTTAAGGTACCTGTAACGAAAATCAAAGCAGACCATCTTTCACTCACACCAGATGGAAAACTCTACAGACTACCAGTTCACACGCCATCACAAGCCAGCAAAACACCCACGAAACAAAGGAAGGTATGTCACAGCCAAAAAATACACTCCAGACACGCCGCTGGCACTAGAGGCAGAGCATGGCCACGTAGTGAGGGCCCCGACCACTGCCGTAGCAGGGTGCTAGCGAAGTAGTAGTATAAATAGCGAAATAGAGCTGCTGGGTAAACCGTAGGCAGAGAGGGAGAAGAGGACAACAAACGAGGGACTGTGACAAACTGTTTCGTCGGAGTTTCACGGACTCATCAGGAGGCTGCACCCTCAACAGTCTGCAGAATCCCCTAACTGATTACACTGTAAGTGATAATCCACGCTAACATATAAATCGTCAAACAGAGCTGCCCTGTATACCGTAGGCAGAGAGGGAGAAGAGGACAATAAACAAGGGGCTTGTAATATGTATATATATATCGTCACAATATATATATGTATATATTTCCCTCATCTCTCATCCTCTCACTACTTTATGTATATGACGAGGGAACACCAACCAACCCCTTGTCCTTTTCTCACGACTACGCCCGTCACAAGTTCGAGAGACAAACTCCGATCATGACATCGAAACTGTTCCCGCTACTCACAAACCGGCACCAGGTGGCACCGCGTGGCACCAGGTGGCACCGCGTGGCAGTGTCGGTTTGGAGACAGCTTCAGCTACACTATCTATGGCCTACGTCAGCCAAAAAAAAACAAGGCAATTACCTCTTTGACCACGTAAGTTCTGCAAGCATCGAATCCACCATAATCCCCTACCTATCCTACTGCTCTCCCGGGGACGGGCTCTTTTTCTTTCTTGTCTAAGAACGGCGATGGCCTTGACTGGCCCCAGATAAATATACCCTATGCTTCATGGGTGTACCAACTCAGACAGGCCTATATCTGTTCTGATCAGTTTCAAACTGAGTATTCGATCTGTGGTCCGTCGGAGCACAATCAATTGAAGGGGCACACGCAAAAAAAACAACAACAACACAACCGTCTGCGAGTCGGAGGCACAGCGACTGGCCACTCAGATGATGCTCGGTCCCTCTGCTACCGGGTGTCCCCTGGCCGGTGTACCCCAGTGCGTGTTCCCTGAAGGCTGTAAGGCCACCCTAGGCTGAAAAGGCCACCCGGTGTCAGATTAGACACAAATTGAATTCAAAAAAAAAAAAAAAAAAAAAAAAAAAAAAAAAAAAAAAAAAAGACACAAGATTGAATTTACCTGGGCTCTGGTTAGTCCGATGATAATACCTCAAGGCCATCGCCCTTTTTAAAAAAAATATTCCCCGCATCCTACCCTATTGATCTTGGACGGAAGACGATCGGCACCGGATTTTCCGGGAAGATGACAATTCCGTCACGCTCGGTAAAGTCCAAGTCTTCGGGCTGGACGCCACGTGGCAACGTAAAGTCAAACCGCTGGGCCAGCCTGGAAACAACGAACCGAACACTGTTGAGCGCGAACCGCATACCTGGGCACACTCTTCTTCCCGAACCAAACGGGATGAAGGCAAAGTTCTTTCCATCAGGATGCAGGTCGTCGGCCAGCCGCCCATCTCGGATGAACCGTTCGGGGCGAAACTCCCATGGCTCGGGCCACACCTCAGGGTCGTGCATAATGGCCCAAGCGTTGACAAGCACCTGAGTCCCTGCCGGGACGTCATAGCCAAACACTACAGCGTCTTCAACAGCTTGATGAGTAAACAGCGGACCGGGGGTGTGCAGACGCAGCGTCTCGTACAGAACTGCATTGAGGTAAGGCAGATTCTCCAGATCATTCTCTGATAGAAACTTCTGCGAATCTCCTGCGACTTCGACGGCCTCATCTACCTCTGCTTTCAGCTTCGCCATCATCTTCGGATGACGGAGCAATTCCATCAGAAGGAAAACAGTTACAGAGGTCGTCGTGTCCGTGCCCGCTGATAACAGACTCATTAACAGCAGGCAGGCTTCCGTCTCGCCGTAAGCAACCTCCTGGCCGTCCTTAAAGCTGCGAGAAGCCGCCAAGTTCTTCGCAGCCACGGCCGTCGCCGTCGCCGCGGCGCCAGCAGCAGCAGTCGTCTCATCAGAGAGGAGATTATCGAACACCACATCCACCATCGCATCCGGATTCTCGAAATTCAATCCGACGGCGGTCAAAGCTGTTGGTTGGCCTCGATCTAGGACGGCGCTGTCGCCCACTATGAACTTTTGTCGTGATTCCAGCCTCTTCTCGACGAGCTCCAAGATCAGGGTGCGGAATCTGAGTGACACCCCTCGCACGTAGCGAAGGTAGCCCTTGTAGAAGACGCTTAAGCTCGGGACGAAGTCCGGTATCTGTACCAGGGACATCGCCTCCATCGCTGCCAAGATGACGTCGTGCAATCCCTTTGCCATTTGCTTGTCATCGCCATCGGCATTGTCGAGGGATGCGTGCCCCGCCTTCGTAGTCTGGAGGGAAGCCCGACTCATCTTCCTTGTGGCATCTTGAACGCCATCACCATCACCATCCTGCTGCGATCCCGTCGTCATCGTCGTTGTCTTCGAGCCGCAGTCCACGGCAAGCTGGGACCTTGCCACGCGGCGGCGCATCCCAGGCGTCACAGGGGAGCCGAATATGACATACGTTAACGTGTCCAGGATGAAGCAAAACATTTTTTCTCGCAAATCCACCGGCTCGAGTCCTTCCACTGTGGTGGTCCCCGCACTGCGGTCCCGGACATTTCCATCATCAGGCTGGCAGCTTCCGATCCCGTCCGTGCCCCGCCGCCCGTCAGTGATGGCCTCCATTTTGTCTCTTCCACCACCTACCTTTGCCTCAGACGCGTGATTGGAGAAGGAGAAGGAGAAGGAGGAGGAGGAGGAGGTGTTCGTCCTCTCCTCGGTCCTCCCCGGCGAATCATTCCCCTCCTCCTTTCCCCCCATATCTCCTCCCCCCTGCTTGTCTGCTCCTCCTGATCCTCCTCCTTTCCTCAGCAGCTCCTCCTCTAGGCAAGCGAAGAACTTTCGTTGGATCCCGTCTACCTGTGCCATCCTCTTTGGGGAGAACATTTGCACGCTGGCCATCTTCCTCTGCTTCCGCCACAAGGCACCGTACGGGGCGAAGATGAGATCCCGACCGCCACATGTCAACGCGTCAATGGTCGCAGTTAGCGGTCGTGAGGCAAACGTGGCTCCCTGATCGACCAGAATCTCCTTGACAGCGGCCGGGCTGGACACCACCAGCGTCCGAACCGAGCCCAGCTGGACGGTCATCACCCCGCCGTACTTCTCTGCCATCTTGGCAAGCCCTCTGTGGGGGTGACGTTGCAGCTGAAACAGATTGCCCATGATCGGCCATGGTGCAGGCCCGGGGGGCAGACGCAGTTTGCGTTTACGCCCGGCCTTTGCCTCCTCTTCCTCCTTCGGTTTTCCAAACCGGCTCCATCTTCTGGCACCCAGCCAAGAAAGCGTTCTGGCAGTGAACAGACAGACGAGCACCGTCCCGATCAGCGATCCTAACAGAAACAACGGAAGATGAGCCTCGGGATCATCGACAGAGAGCCATGTGCTCTGGGCCATCATGCGCATCCACACATTCTCAGCCGCCATCGCCATCCTTGTCGTAAGATCTAAGATCTAAGGGTCTGATCCCACACTACGTACTGTAAGTAAATAGTTGTGTTGTCGTGAGATCTAAGATCTAAGGGTCTGATCCCACACTACTTACTGTAAGTAAATAGTTGTGTTTTGCCGGATCCCACATGATTCCGCAGACTAAGGCGGCCGAGGCAGCTTAGGAGGCAAGTAGAAACCTTTGAAGTCGTGGCAGGCAGGGAGTGATGGATACCGAAACAGCTTGAGGGATAATGGAATAGAAGGGGCCCCGTACCCTGCAGCGAAAAAGGAGGTTTTTTTTTTTTTTTTTTTGTAGTCTGCAGCTTAGGAGGCAAGTAGAAACGTTTGACGTCGTGG